TATTTTTAGCTAGAAAAATCTCAAATTTAAGATTCGATAATTAAAATTTGATTTGATTTTGGGAGAAATTTTAGGATGTTTTCGGCCTATAAAAAGCTTTCGGATTTCAATTTGCAAAAAAAGAGGAGAAGGGGAAAAAAAAAGAAGAAAAATCTCAGCCAAAAAAAAATAAAAAAAATAAAAAAATATTGAAAACCTAAAAAGAGGAAGGCAAACACGTCCTAACCCATCAAACCGACACCGATTACCCGTTAACCCGTCCGAAAACTTTGAGCCTCAATTGATCGTTTTTCGATCGGATTTTGACCCCGATCAACACACCCACGTGTAGAAAATCACTAGATCGATCGATCCATTCCCATTAGAGAGAGAAAACCCACGGAGGAGAGAGAAATTGAAGTTTAAACCACCACGACCCGACCCGAAAACGATACCCGATCGTTTCTCTCAACTCCGGTCACCAACACAAGATCCATCACCACGTACATGATCGCCCATCTCCTCCGAGTAATTCCATTTAAACATCTTGACCCAACGACACCGAAAACGGTTTAATTGACCCCGACCCGTTTTCGACCCGTTTTGATAAACCCGAAAAAATTGGCCGATCTAGGAATAATTGGAGGTCGTAACCACCACGGAACTTCTTCTCACGACCGTGCGAGTCGACCGGTGGGTTTGGAATCCCGATAGAAGGTCGGATTCATCGCCGGTGAAGAAGGGAGATCCGGCCGAACCTTTGGAGGCTCCGATCTCCCTCCTCCGGCGTCGTCTCCGGTTGGAACCACCGCCATTGGAGTCGCAATGGCCGGATCTACAAGGCTGGGTGGTCCACGCGCCGAAGCGAGCATCGAAAGACGAACGGTTGCTTGGCAGTGACTCTTGGTATTCTAGGGGCATTTTGGTAATTTTATAGTGTATGTGAATTTTGGACCTTTTTTTTTTTTTTGAATTTTTTTTATGTGTTTTGTAATAATTTTTTTTTGTCTTATGCATGTTCGAAAATCCAAAGCTATTTAGTTGTGGAATTTATTCTAATATGTGATTTTTTTTATGTGATTAAAATATTGGATCAACGAGTCTCCTATTTATTAGGGACGGACGGTGATTTTAATACATTTAATTTCTAGTTAATTTCAGTTAGTTAAAATCTTAGTTTTTTTTATTATTAAGAAAATAAAAAAAAGCTAGACAAAATATATATCAAAATTTTCGACGAAGCCTCCTATTTGATAGGGGTCGACGTCACTAAAAATCACATTTTAATTAAGACGTCCTTCGACACGCCGGTTGTGTTAAGGCTTAAAGTGGATCCGATGTTTGAATCGACGTGTCGCCCGACGAAGGGGACCGACGATCGTTTCAATACGATGCCACGCTCAAAACTAAAAAAATTCAATTTGTTTAAAAACTGAGAGATTAAGAGTCGGAAAATAATTTGATATTTTAGGAGATAAATTTAGAGCTAAAACCGGACGTGGTACCTTTCTTCGGAAAGGGTACTTTTGGGTGATCGACATCTTCCCAAAAGCGTAACCAACTCCTTACCATAGAATCTCTTAACCGAGTGTCCGTTTTAGGTTCCTAGTTCCTTCAATACTAGGTGGCGACTTCAAAATCCGTAAATAAACTTGTAAATATTTCAATCTAAATTTTAGATATTTTCGAGGAGTCCCGTCCGACGTCGGGTAGCGACAACGTATTGCGTGGACATATTGAATGCTTTTGATGTTTCATAGCCTATAACTACACTTTACGTGAGGCATATCAATATGATAACTATCCCTAAATTGATTGACTTCATAACCTTTATCACCATTCTATATTATTTTTGTTGTATAAATCAACTCTCTTTGCTCTTCAATCTTTTGCCGATTTTTGGTCCATGATCTCCCTTGAACATAACTTGACCAAATTGCCTCATTTCCATTATTCTTGTCATTACCATCATCCTAATTTCCTCCAAAATTATAACAATTGCTTTGTATCTAACTAACGTAAATTATCATTAAACACTTCACACATATTATTATCAACAATATCACACCTACTCGTGTGATCGAAAGAAAGTTTGTCACTATGTTGTCATATCAACTTTGACAAGATCATCCTTTGCTTTTCCAGTTATCTTCTTAAGTGCTTTCTTTAAATCAAATTGGGTTGTAGCCCTTGCACATGCTTAGAATTTTTCATAAAGCTCTTTACCCTTATGTTTTTTTCTCTAACTTGCAAATATATGCTTTGCACAATTTCTATATTAAGCATGAGAAATTAACTCCTTTATTGCCTTCTTAAGACTCTATCAAGAAAACACATTACAGAGTTAAATTCATCTACTGCCATTTACATAATACAAACTATAAATGAAAATATACAATTAAGTATATAATTAAATTAAATTTTTCAATATATATAAAAATCTAACCTTTTTGTTGGTCGATCATCAATTTTCAATTGCTCGCCATTTTCAAACTCTATATCAAAATCTCTCATCAAGTGCTCAATAAACCATTTCTATATGTATTAATTTTCACTATCAACAACAACCCAAGCCAAATGAAACATTTGATTATTCCTTTCTCTTGCCATAGTAGTTAAGATCTTACATTTACACTTTCCTTCGAAAAATATCCATCCATTCCAAGAATAGACCCACATGCTACCTAGAATTCTTTTTTTTTTAAGTGCATAAAAAAAAATATAGACAACTTTGAACACTCTGGATTAACCTCACAACTAAGCCTCGGTAAACCGACTTTCAATGTTGTTTTCTTTGTTACTCCTCTTTAACTCTTCTAAGTAATTTTGTAGCATTGCTTTCTTAGGACTCGTCATCACCATGGAAATGCATCTCTATCCTTCTTTCTTTTTTTCTTTTTTTCTCTCTTCTAGCTTGGTCAAGACTTATGTTACAACATAATTCTTTCTTTTTTGTGTTTTCAAATATTTTTTTTATCTATTTTCAAAGCAATACTACCAAATTTGTTGATGAAGTACTTTGCAACAACCCTCGATTTAATCCTTCTATTCTTAAATGCAACCGACATGTATGTTTATCTATTGTGTTCTAACTTCGAAGTTACCTATATGCTTTTTATATCTTGCATAGAAAACCTATTGATAATTCATGTTGCTACACTTTACTCTTATTCTTTCTCCATAACGCTTAATAAATTCAATCTCCATCCTCTTAGCCACACAATGATCTTCTAAAGACTTGGATGATTTGTTGTTTGTAAAAGCCATGCCCGAGTGTAAACTATGGATCTTTGGCGGTGTCATCAAAATAAACGAGTTTTGGACTTTTTCCTCCTAGCCCTTTTCTCTCTCATCATCATCAACAACACTACTTGATTCATTACTTCTATCTTTATTTGAATCAAACTCATATAAACCTACATCACAATCCACTCCTTCGATAGCATTACCCTTGGATATTTGCCTATTTGATTTTGGAGTATTAACTAATGATGCATTCGGGATACTAGTAATGTGTTTTTTATTTCTCGTCCGTTTTAACTTTGTAAAATTATTTCTAGTAGCAACTAACTATTCATCATCGTTGTCGATCGACCACGACACATTAATCAATTCTACTTCATCATCCAGCTCTAATACACTATCATAACCATCCCTACCATCTTCATTATCATCCGAATCAAAATCTCTAGTATCTTTTTTTTTTTTCAACATAAACTCACCTACAACTTCTAATAACTTGTTTTAACGCTAGAAAGGAAAAATAATCAATGTCAACTAATTTAATCTCACAAACTCCACCAAAATGAGATTTCAATAAAAACTCTCCTCCAATACATAATATCAAAGCTAAATTCGGCATTTCGGTTATGAATTTGATAATACACAAATAGTAAAGTATATAGCACCACTACTTTATCACCTATATTTTTTGCATTTGATGATTTTTGAAATGGAAGCAGAAGAAGAAGAATAGGAAAGCCTTGATATCTCACAATCACATACCAAATTTGAGGAAGATTTCAAAAATTAAAAATGCCGTAAATAATTCTTTCTACCCCAAATTCAATATGATTTTTTTTATAAAAAAAAAAAAACCCTTACAAACCCTAATATTATCTCTCCCCTCTCTTAGTAATTTCATCTCTCAAGGGTTTATGTGTAAAATCAATCTAAGTCCGCCTAACTCTCTCTCTCTCTCTCTCTCTCTCTCTCTCTTCTTAATTACAAAACAAATTTGATTTCGACTTACTCTCTCTCCCCGACCATTCTACAAAAAGTTAGATTTGGGGGATAAAGCAAGTGACACATCGTGTGCCTTATCTCCCTAATTACCCCGCTTAATTTTAAAATCCTACTCTAAATGGTTTTTTCCTTAAAAAAAAAAATTAAAATAACAATAACAGATCAATACAGATTGACCATTACATTAAATAGCAATTAAGAAAATTGGATCAATTTTTCCTAAAACCCAATACTTTAGGGTTTAAATTATGCAATTTCATATTAAGGGTTTGAAATTGCCATAAAATTGCCGAATCACAATAGATTGAAGGCAAAAATTGCCATTAAACCGTTATTTTTTTCATATTGTGATTCAATGATTGAAATTACTAAGTCTAGCTTCAAGATGTGATTTTGTGTGGTTTTCAATGAGGTTTTTTCTTTTCTCCAAAAAAAAAAAAAAAAAAAGAACAAAAACGGATTAATTTGGATAACCGGTGAGTACCTGGCGAGAGAAAAAGTCATAATGGTACAGACCCAACGAAGCTTCATCTAATCAATATGGGCTTCTGTGGGCTTCTCTAACAAGATGAACTAAACAAAAAAGAGGACCAATTTGTAAGCCCAATAGGTCACATGGGAAGCCTCTAAACTTCCATGACAAACTTTATCTCCTTGTATAATTTTGGCGCCCCCTAACCTCTTTTGAACATCCGATTTTCCCTCCCCCTAAGCTTTTCTTCCCTTTCCTCTCCCTAAATTCTCTGCCTCTCCCTGAGCTCAAAAGATCTCTGGAAATGGAGCAACAAAGAAACCAAAAGATTGCTAATCAACAGCAACAACATAATGAGGATCTTGAAGAGATGCAACATGGGCCTTCCCCTGTTGAACAGCTTCTGGTAACTAAATATCTCCAAGATTCTATCTTTTTATTTTCTAACAATCACCTCTTCAATTCTAATAATGGAATAGGAAAAATTAATGGGTTTAATCAAATGGGTTCCTTTCTTTTTGCAAATTTTGCTTAAAAATGGTTTCTTTTTTGCTTTTCTTAATACCCTTGCCATGTTTCCACTGTTGTGCCAAATGGGGTGTTAATGCCCCAGATTCTGTAATTTAGTTGAGTTTTAGATTCTTATTTTGCTTTTAGCTACTGTACAATGGAGTCAAGAATCACTATATAATCTTGATTATGGATATTTCAATCCTGAGTTGGTTCTTGATCTAATTAGAACAAAATTAGGGGTTTCCCTTAAATCTGCTCAAGAAGGGTTCTTTGTTAGTTTTCCTTATTTGACTGGTTTGTTTTCATTGTATATCGAAATGGGTTTTTTTTTTTTTTTTTTTCCATGCATTTAAATTTAGCAGGCAATAACGTATTTTCATGTTTTCAAGATTTGGGACTCTTGTATGATGTCCGACTTTGGTTTGTCAGATGTTCATTCGTTTCGCATCTAAGTGTGGCTTTCAAGTTTGGGTTGGTTCTTTTCCTGATGGCAATGAACCCTAGAGGAGTACTGTTGTTTTTAATCAACTTTCCTATTCTGGAAAGGAGTTTTTGTCTTAAATTAAGTTGCTTTTTTTTTTTTTTTGGCATTTACTTCAATTCTAAGAATACTGCACTTATCCATGTGACAGTCTTGATATGTCATGTTAATCATTTACAGTATAGAGGTTAAGTTTTAATTGTATTCTGACATATTTAATCCTTGACTCAAGGCGTCAGGCATTGCTTCCCTCGACGTAAAGAAACTTAAAGATGCAGGTCTCTGCACAGTTGAATCTGTTGCTTTTTCTCCCAGGAAAGAGCTTCTGCAAATTAAAGGAATCAGTGAAGCTAAAGTTGACAAAATCATTGAAGCAGGCATGTCATTGCTCAGCTTGTTTTTGTTGCTTCAAGTTTCTGCCCTCGTACTTATCATAGTTTAGATAGAGACTCGTATCTTAACTTTTGTTCATGTATACAGCTTCCAAACTGGTGCCCCTGGGCTTTACCAGTGCTAGCCAACTCCATGCTCAGAGGCAAGAGATAATTCAGATAACATCTGGATCAAGAGAACTTGACAAGATTTTGGAAGGCAATCAAAGATTTTTTTTAACTCTTAATTATGATCCTATTACATTAGACTATGTTTTGTAGCAATTCTTCTTAAGAACAGTAGCATTTTCCATGTCCTGTAGTATTGTAACCTCACTCGGCTAGCTTTTGACAGGAGGGGTTGAGACAGGATCTATCACTGAGATATATGGTGAGTTCCGCTCTGGAAAAACTCAGCTGTGCCACACACTTTGCGTCACTTGCCAAGTAAGAGTATTTGTTTTCTTTCTAAATAGCTTGGCAATAAGAAGAGACTAGTTTAATTCCATTACGTAGTTTTGCATGTTTTGTTGCATTAAAAGTTGAAGCAAATATTTACAGACTGGACAAAAATAACCATACAAATGAGCACCACAGTGATATGCCTTTTAAAGGTTCCTTGTCTACTTTTTTGTTTCACATTAGATGAATGGGATCTCATATCTTCTTATGTATGCCAGCTTACCATCTAGGCAATGCTTTCGATCTTTATATTAATCTTCAACCTAATGATGCAGTTTATTGAAGGTCTTCTATCTAATTCATTCTTTTGCTTCAGCTTCCATTAGATCAAGGAGGAGGGGAGGGAAAAGCAATGTACATAGATGCAGAGGGCACATTCAGGCCGCAAAGGCTCTTGCAGATAGCTGATAGGTGTCATACAGCTACCTAGAGAAGAACTTCTGCTCTAGCCTGCTTGTTGTCAAATGGTTAATGGTTTTAAACCTTGCAGGTTTGGGCTGAATGGCGCTGATGTCTTGGAGAATGTGGCTTATGCTCGGGCATATAACACTGATCATCAATCAAGGCTTTTGCTTGAAGCAGCTTCAATGATGGTGGAAACAAGGTACACATTGTCTTTGTTGTCTAATGTGTGGATGACTCTACATGGCCACTGTTACTCAGGATCAAGTGAGATTATGAGCACAAGTGGCTTTTCTATTGCTGATATGATTCCCTGAGAAGTTTCACCAGGAGGGTAGACAAAAATTAAGTAACGGGACCTATTTCACATCCAGTAAATGAATAACATTTTGTAGCTTTGAAAATCTGTATAGCTGGGATTCCATAGATAATAAAAGCTCTTACAGCATGACTAATAATTAAAGAACCTCTAGTTATGCATGTAGATTTTTTCTTGATTTGCAGTTAAATCTAATTATGTTAATGGTTCGATGTCCTTCAGGTTTGCACTTATGATAGTAGACAGTGCTACTGCTCTATACCGAACAGATTTTTCTGGAAGGGGAGAACTTTCAGCCCGGCAGATGCATCTAGCAAAGTTCCTTAGGAGTCTTCAGAAATTAGCAGATGAGGTAGAGAAACAAACATTCTACCTTAATTAGCATCCTTTCATTTATGACTACCTGTTTACATAATTGAATTATTGGACCAGAGTTCTTTTAGGCCATATGATTTCCTGGATTTACCCTCTTGTTATGCCAGCTTTTGGGAATGCTATGCACATGCTCCAAATTGACTTTCCAATGACAAATGTAATTTTTCCTTTCGCTTTATGTTGCTGTAGTTTGGTGTGGCTGTTGTCATTACAAACCAAGTAGTTGCACAAGTTGATGGTTCTGCTATTTTTGCTGGACCTCAAATCAAGCCTATTGGTGGCAACATAATGGCTCACGCTTCTACAACTAGGTTGGCAACTCTCTCTAATTCTCCTCTCGAGTGTGAAGGTTTCTTACTTGAAAATTCTTAACTTGTTATTGTGTACTTGCCGCAGGCTTGCTCTCCGGAAGGGAAGAGGGGAGGAGCGCATATGTAAAGTAATAAGTTCTCCTTGTTTAGCTGAAGCTGAAGCACGGTTCCAGGTCTCTGCTGAAGGTGTAACTGATGTTAAGGATTGATATATTTTAGCCATCATCCCCTGGAAACGTTTTGAGGGTTGGTTGATAGGATGGTTTTTTGCGTTGTGTATCTGTAGATCAGCAAGCAAGGGATGTCATGTCACATCTATGTAATTTTTGGGTTTAGAATAGGAACGTTCAGATTTTTGGGAGTTGTAATGAAGACTTGCAGATCGTTTAATGTTTGGTGACCATTCTCAACTGGTCTAATGTTTTCTGTAATTTTAGTGTAGTACTTTTGTATCACATGAATTTCTTCAACATTTTATTTGATGTTTATATTCAATCCGAGTTTTTTCCTTGTAAATGTTGAGTCTGCCTTTTTGGTTGACTTCTGTGTGGAGGAATGTAAAGAAACTGTTGGTGGTGCGAGAGACAGCAAAGCAGTCAAATTGGGAAGAGATCGGTGGTGTAAGAGAAATAGTTGCAAAATAAACTAGGGTTTGAGAGTTCATTTCCTTCGTTTTCTTCGTAGCACTTCATAGACCTCATCTATACGAATTTGTCATCAGCATTTGTCGTAGCCAAGTAGATTTTGAAAGTAAAGAAGCCCATTGCAATAGAAATGAGTGACATAATTGCTAGCTTAAGAAACCTAAAGATAGTTGCGAGAATAATGCCTTTTGTAACGATTAATTTAATTCGATTTGTGAGGGTATTGTTGAGAGAATCAAACATTGCGATGCTTAAGGCGGATGGAATCAAACCAAAAATGGGTTGAAGAAGATTTAATTAGGCTCTGCGACAGCATCAAATTCCACTGAAAATACCAACTTTATTACTCCCGCAAGGAATTTCAATTGTATGACACCTTCCAATTGACATTTAAACCCACTGGAGGAACCCTTCGAAATGGTTCATCCTACTTGTAGATCCTTGAGAGGAAGTTTTCTTTAGTCCGTTGTGAGAATACAACATGGTAGAAAATATTTTCCCAAGCACGATAATGAAGTACTAAAGAAAAGTTTCACAAATGAGAAATTAATGTGGATGAAAGTAGCATCACACCACCAGGGAATGCTAATTGTAACCCCAATCCATTCTGTAACTATCTTTGTATTGTACCTAACCCAGAGTCAAATTTACAAGAATCAGGTCGTTACAAGAATTATTATGGAACCAAAATGAAGTAATTAAATAAATAAAGGTGGAACAACAAGAGGGAAGATTGGCCCTCAAATGCAGGAACAATAAAATGAAAAATCTGCAAAATCTAGTACACTGTGTCGCTGAGACTTCATATGCTTCTGTCATTTATTTCTTGCAATTACTCTTTCAGTAAGATCAACTAGTGCCCTCCTTGATTTTCTTACTTCTTCATCGTCTGTGTCAGGTAAAGAATCAATAGCTGCCGCAGCAAGGTTAGCATGCTTTGCAGCTAGCTCCCTTGTCCTCTGTATTCCATGGCTCTTCCCAAGGTACTCAAGGGCCTGAATTCCATAGACAGAACAGCTCCCATAAATTAACATAATTTCTAGTTGGGGAACAGATAATCAAGAGAGAAACAGTAGAAACGATAAGGACATCAAACTTAAGACCAAGAAGAAAGCTCATTCACATTATCACTCTACCTATGCATTACATGAAGACAGTCAGTTTTAAAGATGGGTTGGAATCAACACTCCGCGTAAAACATGAACCAAGTGAAAAGGAATGGGGATTAGATGGAAGCAAGTTCCTTGGTCAGAGTAAAGAAAACATCAGAAAGCAATGAAGTTTGCAGACACACCATGCTCTGTGGAAAAGGGTAATGCCCAATAGCTAACACCTCCCAAAGGGCTAAATCATACATCTGGTATTTCACTTCACATGTATAGAAAACTACTGTCCATTTTGATCAATTTTGTCATTCAAAAAAAGGAGTTCCAAATCATTTAAAATATTTTGAATAAATGAAAACACTAAGCATTCTCCAAAATTCTATACTGGAATGTAAAAAGCTAAAATCCACTAAAATTCATACCCTCCGATAAGTTTCAGCATCATCTGATTGATGACAGAAATGCATGCAACATATTCTTTTTTGATTGCATGATGACATTAAGCAAGAGCAAGAATGTTAGGCACATCGCAGAACTCAGTGCACATAAAAACCAGAAAAGAAAATGTAGAGTTATGCAACTCTCTGCAGTAGCTTCAGCTTTATGATAGATTATTATTGTCACACATCATCATTTTCAAATTCAGTATTTTCGAGGTCGTGCTGAAAAGAAAACGAAGACGAACTTACTAAATCAATGTTTTCAGGATTGTCAAAGCCCCTGTCAATAACTGCACGCAACTGAGGGAACTCCTCCATGGCAAACAATATAGGAGCTGTTACAATTCCCTACAATAAAATATCATATTATGATAATGAGCTGTGATGCACAACTCAAAATGTAATAGAATCAAAAAGAATGTTGAAAGTTGTCTTCAAGCCACGAAAGAAATGATGCTGACCAATGCAGGGACTTCAACATGTAAAAGCGGTTAAGTGAGATAAATATTATACACTATTCTACATCATTCCAGTGAAAAATGGTCAAATCACACACAGTGCAAGATACAACTACGCATGCCTTTAGGATCAGCTAAAAGAGACAGCCATAGGTTTTTGAACCACATGACAACCAAAAACTTTGGCCATCATTTTGTCATATAGTCCCAGGGACAGTACCACATGCCCAAGAAGTTGACAGTTGGAACATCTACAGCAGATTATGATCCTTTCCGAAAGAGTAGACATTTAGCCAACTTCAGGATAATAAAAGACTGAATAGTATCAAACAAAATGCTTCAGCTTTAGATTTTTCTGTTCTTGTGGAATGAGGATTGCGCTAAAAAAGAGAAACTAGTTATCTTGTCTGCATTTGCATAAAAGATAATTGAATCAAAATTGCCTGTTCTCAACCTTATTTGAGAACAAAGTCGCAACTAATTATAATTTTGGCCTAAATTACAGAACTTCACAGAAGAAAAAATATACCATGATGATTAAGAAACAAAGCACCCATAAGATGCTTGGGCAAAATATATATATTTCTTTCACATGACGTGTCAACATCATATATATATATATATATATATATATATCTTCTAGGAAAATAATGCAAACTTGCGTAACTATTTAATGAGGTTGTTCAATCACAGGCAGTTGCTTACAACCAGTATCATCTCCAGCTACTAGATATCACATAAGGGATAGATGAATTACATGGCGAATGTCAGATAATGAACCCTTTCCAAGGGAAGCAGAAGTGCCTGTGAAATCGAGAACATCATCAATCAATTGAAATGCCAATCCCTGGAAAAGGAAACAGTTAGAATATAGGCAAAGAAACAGCCAAAGACAGATTGGTATCAGACTGAAAAATGACAGCCAGAAACAGAAGATTTAACCAGAAATCATCAAATCCATCAATTTGTCCACCACAACCTAGAACAGATAAAGAGTTCCATTCTGCAGAAGGAAGGAAAAAAATATTCTAAAAGCAATGTATATCCTTGCGTATCCTAATAGAGTCCCCCATCATCCAAAAAGGTAAGGAATGAAAGAAAGTAGCACATCAAGAAAACATTTCACTTAGATTTGATACTTTATCTGATGTCCATATAAAAGACAACCATTAGCAAAGCATCCTAAGACATGGATACATCAACATTATTTAAAGTGAATCCACTAAAAGCCTTTTAGTTGAAGTATTTGGCAAAACAAATAAATTAATAAGATATTCACAAACCAGATTTTTGCCGTACTCGAAAGCCAACATTGCAACTTCTGTTGTATGCCCTGCAAGAAGGGCAATTGCCTTGCAGCTATTTGAAATCAAAGATGCAGTCTTGTAGTATGTCTTTTGCATATAATACTCCATGCTGCAATAGCAACACCTTTTAAGTCATATAAATAAAGAACAGAGGATCATTGAGGTGCAATTGTAAATCGCTTCATCATCAATATGGTAAATAGCATGCCATCGCCTAGATGGGTGTAATCATCTCTTTAGACCATTTCATGCCAATAAAAGCAGTCATGGTCACTAGACTACACAGGTCAGTTCAATTTGTTAATCGCCATAAAGGGCATCCAAGTTGAACAGGCCAAAACAAGCACTTCTATCTAGTTGCAATTCCAGTTAGAACCCAAATTGCTTATTCTGAAAGCAAGATGCCTGGAGAAAGCAATAGATTATAATAAACAATCAGAAACATTTGATATTAGAAATTGGAATAACCACATGGTGAAAAGAACTGGGGGAGCAAAAAAATCTACCAAGCTCCCATGGCCTGCCTTACCCCTTCCATTACAAAGTAACTGATATCCAGAACAAGAAATATTCACTTTCTTTTTGGTCTCAAAGGAGTAGGTATGCACACGAGTTTGGATTGTTGTTTTCAAAGGAAAATTAAAGCCGTCAATCTACAATTAGGCAAGCCAGATCAGAGTTTTCAGTGGACATCCCAGTAAAAATTAATTGGGGAAAAAAAAAACTCTCAAGACAAAATTCTAAGGCAACGGAAAGGGGATGCAAAGTGAGCAACAAAAGGGAGCAAAACTGGCAATCAGAAGAAGAGTGTTCAGCAATGAAAACCTGTATTGAGAGTTCAAAATTTCATACAAATTTAAATCTCCATCCCGACCAAATCAATGCAAATTATTTAATGAAAGTGAAAGCAAAGCAGCATACCTACAACGTTGCTCAGATGTTGAAGTCATCTGCATAGTTTCACCAGTAACAAGATGTTCTACAACTGTTGCTAGTAATGAAACAACCTACAGGCACATAAAAGTAGTGCTGAGCAAATATGAAGTAAATCTGTGTGAGGTGTCCTAGATCAGGGTAATGCCATTAAAATACAATCTCCACTCCTACAACCCCCCAGCTCCCGCAGCAAATAACAATAATGATAATTATAATAATATTATTGTGTCCTTGTAGGAGGTTCCAATCTTCAATATGGTGCCTAATCATGGTACATGGAAATGCATCGACCAATGAACTGATATGTGATGAGTTTGGCGCCAAAATAATGTAATTCAGAAGCAGTAAAAGTTAAGGGATTTGAAGACAAAGGCTAAAACTTGACACTCCATAATGTTAATCATCCCCAAGGTTTTTTCACCAACATTTTTACCAGTAGGAACATGTTTGAAGAATAAAGGATTGCTTTTGAGGAGCTTATGAGCCAGCTACTAGAGTTGAAAGAAACAAATAGGTATGGCAAGACTCGATATCATTGCTTAAATAAAGAGATTATTGCTCAATATTAGGCTCGCATGCTTAGATGAGCAACATTAATTTATTCTTACTTCTGTGTTTTTCAAAGAAGCAAGGGCTACACAAGCTCGTGAAAGCAGAAAATCTCCAGCAAGTACTGCCACCTGCAATACAAATGAAAAAGAGAAAATTAAAAAACAAGTAAACCTCAGGCTACAATCCTCTGCAATTTAATTATTGTAAAAAAACCCATAAAAGCACCTGGAACTCAAATTTCAAAATACTAATTAAAAAGACAAAAAAAGAAGTCCCTGCTAAATAATAAATGCGGAAGTTCTGTGAAGCTAATGTTCATTAGCAGGTTCCCTACCAGTAGAGTACTGCATGCATGGGGAAGTACATAACATATGATTTGCTAGGATATCCTATAAAAAGATCTTGCCCTGCAAAGATAACGGACCTTCATAAAGACAAACATACAGGGCCAGAGCAAGCAAAAAAGTTCATTGTATAAGAAAACGACTTGACCATCCCCAAAGCATATAGCTACAGGAACTCATAGGTGCAAAATTTCTCCATTTACTATACGACCGTCAGCACAGAATTTTATAATTTCTCCAAAAACATATAGATATCAGAGATTTATTTGTGTTTTCCCTAATACAATGTACCCAAAAAACTTACTGATTCTCCATATTTGCTATTAATGTTTTACATAACAAAACCAAACTTTTGCACCTATAGTAACGCCCCATCAATATCTCTATACCATAGGGACCACAAATACCCATGATGTTTTATGTTCCTACCAAAAACCATTAACCCTTCCCACAACATTTTTAACACCCTTAACACTTCACTCTTAAATGTTACATCCTTTACATTTCACTTCCAAATTGTTTGCCCCATAACCAACACAATCAAAGTACCAAGCAGGGATTCAACTATTTATTCACAACCCCATACATATAATGTTCCAATATGATGTTGCATATCCTTGCAACAAATGTTTCTACTTTTTGTACAGAGGCTGATGCTTGTCAGTTCCAGAAGGTCAGACGGATTTAACAGTTTGGCTAATACAGCAAAATTCCTCCTACAGTGATGAACACAAGAGCTATTGAATTTCCACATACAAAAATGATTTGAAATCCATAACTCCTAAGAAAGCTAGCTCAAGAAAGCCCAGTTGAAAAGCAATATGCAAACTACAATGTACTTTGCAACTACACATTTAAAAATAAAATAAAGAATAAAATTAGAATTGAACAACAGAAAGAACCAATACCAGTATGAAGAAAAAGAAATAAACTAGTACAGCAATTATAGAAAATAAAAATGATCAGTGAAACTAAATAGAAATGAAAAATATACTGCAATACCTTATTGCCCATAACAAAATTTAATGAACCAATACCACGTCTCGTATCTGCATCATCCAACACATCATCATGCAGAAGACTCGCCACCTAAGACATTGAATGACTGCATAAGTACTGAAACAGTAATGAACATGTTTCTTTAATACAATAGCTGAATGAATAGGGTTACAACAAAAAGGCATTTGGTAAAAGACAAATACTGAACTATGAGAAACTGACATGGATCATCTCAGTAATCTCGGCTATAGATTGCTGTCTTTGACGTAGTTCTGTTGTCAAAGCATCTCCTACACCACCAGGTATCGGTTCAAGTATACGCACATTCAAAGCTGTTGCCATCAGCAACAAAACCTGCACAAAACTTGGAGTTATATGATGTGTTTGAAAAGGGAAAAAAAAAAAAAAAACTCTTACAAAACATTTAAATGACTTGGGCAGAAAACTTCAACAAGAAATAATCAGTGCTGTAGCTTCAACGAAAGTTTAAAAGACTTGGGCTAGGCATGTTACCTTAAAAAACGTTTCATAAGTAATGCTACTTAATGATGTTTTCTTCCCATGCATTTTTTCAGATTATTTATTGATATATTTTCATGATAGCAGAGTTTTAAAGCCAGACGTAGTATATTGGATTACAACTGACTAGCTCATAGGCAGATTTTCCAAATGTGAGACAAGTTTTGAAGTACAACAAGGTGAATCAATATTAGACTTGGAGTCTCAGACCTTAATGAGAGCTTAAGTTATAAAGCCTCAACTTTGAACTGAACCTTGAGACATTTTCCTAGTCGGAAAGCAACAAGCTAAAAAATCTTGTCACTGCTGCAATAGTATTACTGCATACTAATTACTACCAAAAAGTAAACTATGCACAGTAAACCTGAACGTTTCAAACAGTCATTGAAGTATATGGAGAACTTCCTTTTATGAAAGTAGCCACCAAAATCCTACTGAACATAGATTAGATTAACTGATAAAACACTAGCAGAGCACAATTTTGAATCAAAACCCAAATAATGAGCACACAAGCATTATTGCAGTTACCGTGGGACGGAACCTCTTTCCTTCTACCCCCATTTTAAAAAAGTACTCAGCAGCTGAGGCAAGCTTAGGAACCTGTGAATGAAATTTGAATCCAAATTTTATCACATCATATCAAATCTGCTTGCTTAAAACAGAAAAGGAAATTCATAACTACTATTGCCACCAAGTCTGACATATTCAAAAAGACAGAATAAATACCTCAGCAATTACCATTGACCGCAATCTATTAGCAAGAAGTGATAGCTCATCAGCAACAAGTGAGAATGGATCAAGCTGGTCCTGGAAAACAGTATCACCTAATGTCAATTCAGTTTGTCAAAAAACAAAGTATCCATTCATAGGAGTAAACAAGGTGGCACACAAGAAAATCTGCAACAGATCAGAAGCAGTATCAAGTAACTGCAAGACCAGTGTTTGATAATCAAGGTGCCAACATCACAACCTCTCAGAAGTATACGAAGGAAGTCAACAACCATGAAGCTACCTAATTCAAAGTATCAAGTATCTCAGAACCACATAAAACCTTTGTTTATTCTATAAATAAATAGATAATACAAGGGAATGAACCTTGTATTATATCTACCCTAATTCCCACCACCATAAAATCTTAAGAGATATCTAGATTTGTAATTAGTTGGAAAGGGTTTAGATAATAAATTAAGAACAGGAGGAAAGGATTTAGAATCTGTAAATGAATTTGGAATAGGACTATATCTAGGTACAACCAAATTCAACTACCCAAATACCAATCCATTCCAAATAACAAGGTCTACAATAAAATGTATCATTAAGCTTGCAATACTATATAGAACCTTTTTTTAATGAAACTTCCCACCAAGTCCACAACACGTCATTAAAGAGTATTGGATAATAATTGAAATGTTGTTTTTGCTTCTTTAGATACATAACGAACATTAAAAAGGTGCTGACAGGAGAACGGAAAAATAGTGCAACCCTAATATCCCATAATCATGGACTCCCACATCTCATGCCTCGTACATGTTATAATGAATTTTTTTCACAAAACCAAAATATATAGTAAAATATATATGTATATAGACACATTAAGAAAAACAGAACACAGAGAGAAATGAAAAGACAGTGATACATCTAACCTCCACTAAGGAACTGCTCTGGTGATGAATCTGATGTTTGAAAACATGCAAGGAAGGAACAGTCCAAGAATAAGTTTCTCTGCAACTGAAAACCTACTAATCACCAGAAACAAAAACAAGTAGGATATAAATGGTCACCACATATGTAAGACAACCATAAATTTAATCGATGCTAGAAAATTTAAATAGAGATAAGAAATTGAGCTCCTAAAAATGTCATGCACAAAGCCTAATACAAACATGAAATTGTGATCCCAATATAAAACTTTCTAATGAAGACAACGGTCTAAACCTTAATAATCCTTTAAAGAAATTGATAGCTACCAAAATTAAAATAACATCCAACCCTTCTCAAGTCTAACCATGAATACTGACTCTCAACAAACTTTTGAAAAAAATCCAAATTCTTATTACAGACGTTTAGTTTTAAACTTCAAATATCCTGTTGTTCTATTTTCCCCCAAATCCAGTATATTACATTACTCCCAACCATTTTATTCCAAATCATAACACAAATAATGAAAATACAGTTACACCACCCACAAACGTTATAATTCATCCAAAAACACACAAAAAGTAAATAAGTAAATATGAGTAAAGTATTCCCATTTCTTCACAATGACATGCAATACTCCTCCCATAAAATACCAATTGCTACTCAGTCATCCTTGACTTGTAGAGAAAAAAATTTGAAACCAATTTCCCATCGAAACTCAACATCTAAGGTGCAGCACAATAAAAGAAATCTCCCTCCTCTTGAACCCAAGCAAAGCAAACAACAAGGAACCAAAAAATATTTGAAGCCTGAACTGATTCGCCACAAACAGACATGTATAAGATAAAGCATTCATCATTTTCACTGGTTCAAACCATCATCTTTTACATGTGAAACAGAGAGCAAAGAGGATTGCTGAAAACAAGAAAGTGTGATTCAAAGAAAATCAATTCAAGCTCCCATAGCTTGTTACACATTCATTTTGCCTAGTTTTGTTGAATATCAAGCTCAATAGGATGTAAGATTGACAAAAGGGAAGCCATATAAAAACTGGGATCAGAATCAGCATCGAAGAATCACAAAACCATGAGTTTCATAATCTCATGCAAGGACAATTACAAGAGTCCCTCTTCTCACATGTCATCAAAATAGGTGATATGACTGTCGCCTACAACTTAAACTGTTTAATCATACTCTTTCTAATACGTTTTCCAAAAAAAAAAAAAAAAAAATACTCTCCAATACAACCACCACAAGAAATGCCAATCAATTTTCAGTTTTAAGTTTACGCAACATGTTGAGAAATCCTTCAACAACAAAATTTCCTTTCGCAACCAATAATTCTCATCTTCATATCCCAGCAATCTTCCATTGGTAGTATACTAGCTCATTCAAAAAGCAGGCTTAGGCATCGCTAGCAAATAATCGTTCATAAGTCTTTCACAGTAGAATCACTCCATAATTTAGAAACTTCTCAGATTTAAAGTAAAGATATTTTAGTCATTTCCCAGTCATCTTCTATTAGGTCAAATCAGTCCTCATCAAGAAAGCTCTATTTGGTACAAATTACTGGGAAGATCTTGCACTCAAAACATATCAACATATCAGCATTCTGAACAAAGATAAAAACTGAAGCATTTTATTTAACACAACAACAGCTAGTCACTGAATTTGCAGTTTATTAGTAAACCACAGCTTTGACAATGATTTAAACCAACCCCATCATTTAATTTCCTCAATTTTAAAGGGCACCCAACAGCTCCAAAGAAGGGGAAAAAATCATTTTTGTTCCCTTCCAATACACACTCCACAAACTTGAAAAACCAATGAAACAAGCCAATATGAAATAAGAATAAAAGAATGAAGAATCTCATTTGGGAAAGAGCTTGCTAATGTCCTAGAAAATAAGAAAATCAATAAAGGAGATTTGTTAGTATTACCTTTGGAGTAGAAGAGTGGGAATTGTTGGAGAGAAAGAATCCATAAGATAGGGGTCGATGAGAAAGAAACCAATGGCTGCCATTTCTTGTAATCCTCGAAATCCGAGACAACGACATCTTTCTTTTTGTCTTTCTTGCTGCCTGCTAAAGAGAAGCAAAGTTTTGAAAAAAAAAAAAAAAAGCTAGGTATTTTTTTTCTTTTTTCCTTCATAATTAAGGTTGGCCAGAGGCACCTGGCCAGGTGTGCAAGGACCTGGCAAGCTAGGCCTAGGCTTGCCTTTTTGTTTTTTCAAAGAAAATTATTTGTTTATTTATTCATTTATTTTTACAATTTTTTTTCAAATTGATTTTGTCTCTTGTTTTCCTAATAAAATCTTATAAAATTATGTATCCCATATTTGCAGCCTTTTGAGTGATGCATATCATAACCTTATGTTGAATATTTGTCAAAATCTAGCATGTGAATTGAACTAGTTATTTTTGGGTGGATTTGAAAATGTGAGTTTTTTTTCATAAAACATATAAAAATATCACTTTAGGTATCATAAAACTTATTCATCATAAAGATTCTTTATAAAGCACACAAATGAAGTTTGAAATAATATTTTCAGCATGCTCTTCAGCACAACTTGTCAAGCCCTATGACGACTTGAATGCCAAAATAAGTGATTGTGCTCATATGTTGTATTGCACATGTATACAAAAAAAAAAAAAAAAAAAAAAAAAAAAAAAAAAGCATTGAAATTGAGTGATTACTTTAGATTACGTTCTGAAAGATGCGCTTTTTGGGCTCTAATACAATATAAAAAACATTTTGTTAATGGATGATAATAGATGTGGGTTGTTGTTCCCTACTTCAATTCTAGAAACTTCTCATACATTTGTTACATGAGAACCATGACAGAAAAGCAAGTAGATGTTCACCATTTTGTCAAAAACTATGTTGTTGCAGGATAGAAAAGGGGAGCACCAGTGTTTTGAGGAATCTATATTCATAATAAGTGACTTTGCCATTTTCTAAAAATATTGAGGCTGATCATTTATAAATATAGACCCTTCAGAATTCCATGACAGAGAAAAATAAAAAATCAATGCCACAACACCAAGAGATTCTAAGCTATTTAAAAATCATGGCAACGTTGCACTAGAAGTCAAGATTCAATTATTACGGGCAATTACAGAAACATGAAGGAATATAAAAACATTAACAGGTAATTCCAAAACATGAAGTCAGGGAACCAAAACACTGTCTACCAATTATTCTTAACAGACAGAAAGGAATTGTACAGGCAACACTCAAGCAACAAAAATTGAAATGCCCATATAAGATGCTTTTGTTGACAAATTAGTTGGAAAGTATTAAAACATCATGTGCTAATTAAAAGCAATTTTCTAGCAACAAATTGTGAATTCCCTAAACAGTTTCAATGAGAAATCAACAACCTAGCAAGTATAGCAGGAAAGTTCTTCCTAAGAAATCTATCTAAATGAAAAGATATTACAGCACATAGATCACTTTCGATATATCAGTAAGAGGCACATTATGAACATTTAGCATACTGAGGTCGATTAACTGTGCAGTTTAAACATTGACCATTCTTGCTCCTTGATAACGGTGATTTGCAAACATGTAAAATATGAAAATATGCCAGCAAAAATGTGCTTTCCATATGAAATCTAGCTAGCAACATAGAGTTTTTTAACAATAAAAATCTTATGGATGTTTTCTGTGTTCATAAAATGTACAATGAATGCTATCCAGAGTTAAGCAATTTCAGGTTCCAACTTTAGCCACCCCACGTCCAACAATTGGCTGCTCAATTTCAAGAGAAAGAAAACTTACAAAAGAAACCTTTGGGCATTCTTTATTGCTATAATCAGCATATTAGAACTATCCCACATCTTGATATCAATAACAGGAAAAGAAAGAAAGAAGTAATAATAAAAAAAATCCTTTCTGTATTTTATAAACTTCTTCTCTTTCTATAATTTGGATTGAAAAGGGAATTTTTTTTTTCTTGGCACCATTAAAAGAATTCAACTGTTGATGAAGATCACTCAATTAATTGAACTAGATAGGAGCAGGAAACTTGAGGACCATTAAGTTTTCCCCACCCTTTCCTTAATTGATCAAACTCCATGATGAGAATCAATGGAGAATTTAAAAATTATTTGCCTATTTGAGTTTGTGGTTCATGGAGGTGAAGTTACAGCCAATGCATCATCCCATCGACAAGCCAAACGAAATGGGCCAAAATTGCAAAAATAAAATTATAGAGATGGCATGGCAAAAATTAAGACGGACAAAGAACAAAAAGAAAAGTAAAAGCTTAGTAGGTCCAGGTGCAAAAGGCTCTAACAAAAATTCTGTTGCGCATAAGTATACTGGAACAGTATGATTAAAAAAAAATGCAATTCTTACTGTTTGATCACTTATCATAACACAGAAAAGAAAATTACATAAATTTCTTTAAAATAACAAAGTATTTGCACAAATGAAACCAGTCAACCAATCAAACAACAAAATACAGGCATTCAGACAAATGGAATGAAAGCAACTAAATATAAGTCCTGAGAGTGGGAGGGGACCTGTTCGACGAAGTTGGCGATTTAGGGGCCACTACTGTCGTCAATAAAGAGAGTGTTGCCGGATTTAGAGGCCAGCTGCTTCCTTCAACAAAGAGGTTCGGTTAGTACTAAGGACTAGATCAATGAAAACCCTTTTGCCATATAACCTCTGAAATGAATCCTTGCCCGAAGCTATGGCCGCCAGACCGCCGCCGCTTGCCTGAGTGAGAGAGTCAGCGAGTGAAGTTTAGAGAAAAAGAATGGCGAATAGGATATGGAGGTGATTGTTGAGTCTGTTATTTTTTTCCCTAAAAATAGGTTATTGAAAATTGTATAGAAATAAAAATAAACCATGGTTAGTTCGGTTTCTAACAGAACCGACAGCACCGAGTTTGTCCGGTTTCGGTTTAAACCGAAAATCGCTTATCACTTCATTTAAAAGCGGCGTCGTTTCTAATTTGTCTCTTCGTTATGACCATCTTCTACCCCGAGCTAAGTTTCGTTCCTTATTAGGGACGGTGAGTCCACTCAGTGAACTAGGACGAGACCTCTCTCTCTCTGTGAATCCTGGAAAACTGAATTGAAAGCCATGGCAAACAGAGCGAGTCCTTCAAATCTCCACAAATCAGTGGCCATTTCTAAAGGATACAACTTCGCTTCTACTTGGGAACAGGTTTCTTTCTTTCAATCTTTTGCACTCTTAAATCATTAGATCTGGTTTTACTAATCTTACCAACTCGCACTCTCACATCCACAACTCAGTCTTTGATTCGATTCACATTCCTTCGCTACCTACCAGCTGTGATCTATTCTTTTATTTGACAATTGCCGCTTCTTTATCTTGATTTATTGCGATACACAGAATGCGCCTTTATCGGAACAACAGCAAGCAGCAATTGTGTCCCTCTCTCATGCAGTTGCCGAGCGACCTTACCCTGACAATTTGGTGAGATTTCAATTTATTTTTCTTTCTTAGTTTTAAAAATGCAGGTTATCTGACAATTATTTGTGGTTTTTTTAGGCGCAAGATCATGCCTCCGTGAAGGAGAATGGCGGCTTGACGGTTTCCGCCAAGGACAGCAGTTTTGGTGAATCTCAAGGCATTGATGCAATTTTAGTCAATACAAATCAGGTGAGGTTCACGCGCTTTTGCTTATCTTCACATGATAGGTAACTTGGAGTAATGTTATAAGTCAGTGATTATATTGTAGCCTGATAATGATTTGAATTTTATCTGATGCAGTTCTACAAATGGTTTACTGATCTTGAATCGGCAATGAAATCTGAGGTTAGTTGTCCTGGTGCTTATTTTTTGTGCAAATGAGTTAGGTCATGGATTTCTCGTGAATATTTTTCTTTTTTCTTTGTCATGGTGTTTTCTGTTATTACTTATTAGACGGAGGAGAAGTATCAGCACTATGTCAACAATCTCACGGAGCACATGCAGACATGTGATGATATACTTCTCCAGGTATTTGTTCCTTTTATAATTCATTTCTTAGTGAATCTTATATTGTTGATAAATTGTTAAACTCTTGGATGAAGTCATTTTTTTTATTTATCTAAGATACTGAGCTTATCTGAATGCAGGTGGATGAAACTCTTGACTTCTTTAATGAGCTACAGCTGCAGCACCAAGCGGTTGCTACAAAGACTAAGACTCTTCATGATGCTTGTGACAGACTGGTGTGTTTTCTCTTTCTTCTATTCACTACCATAGACTTATTCTAGTATATGAGCTTCCATTTGGTTTTGTAAATCGCAGAACACAGTCCCTCACATATTGAAATTTTGATTTAGATCATTTATAACTGATTGGGCTTGGTAACCATCAACCTTATAGAACTAACACACTGCTTTCGCTTGAGCTAGAATTTCAGACAAATATGTTCCAATGCCATATGATTTTTCTATAGCCCTGCTGTTATCTGTTTTAGTTTCCTGGATGGAACAAGCAAGTTAATCTGTAGTTTATATCGAATTTATTTTATGTCAATATCGTATCGTAGGTTCTGTGATCTTAAATTTTAGGTAGGTTATTTTTCAAACTTAAATCTGCCAACTGTAAATCGGAGCATTTTAGATGGTAATGTATATATTTAAATTTGTCAAGTCGGTGTCTTATGTATCTTTTACATTGCAGGTAGTAGAGAAGCAAAGACTGATTGAATTTGCAGAAGCAGTTCACAGTAAGCTCCACTACTTTGATGAATTGGAGAATGTAAGGTTCGAATGCTACCTAACTTAGAGTTTCAGTTGCTTAAAATGTTATGTTTTCTCATTATTTACAAATTAAACCATCATTGTTTTAGGTAGGTAAAGAGAATAAGTCTCATCCACATAAGAAAAGAAAACGACCTAAAAAATCAATATAAGAGAGCACCTGCTATCTTGTTTGTTTATAATGATACGCATGTTAGTATTTTACTCTACTTGGATGCTAAAATTTCTCCTAATATCTTATTATTTTTGTTTATCCATGTGTAATACGATTTCATAAAATATTGCCATTTATATCAATAGTATTGATTGATTGTGTGCTTTGCATTTTTGGCAGCTTAATAACAATTTTTATGCTTCAAACACGAATGTTGGAAATGAGAAATTTCTTCCACTGCTCAAAAGGCTTGATGAGTGCATATCGTAAGTGAATAATTTTATATTACTGTGTATAAATTAACACCTCTAATATTGCTTAGCTAAGTTCATAAGCAGTATTGAATTTTTTTGGGTTGGGACAGTATCGGACTCTCTTTATTTACTTATCCCTTGTTTTTTGCTCATGCCTTAGATATGTTGAAAGCAATCCACAATATGCAGAATCCAGTGTTTATTTGCTCAAATTTCGACAACTCCAGGTAAGTTATTGATGGCAGCAATGTAAAAAAGTGATTGATTTTGTGAATGTTAAATGTAAGAGTGCAAGGGTTGTTACCTGCTCCAAATGATGACAAAGTTTTTGTGCTTTTAACAGTCTCGAGTGTTGGGCATGATTCGAAATCATGTGGTTTCTGTCCTGAAAAATGCTTCTTCTCAGGTGAAGTATCTGTATTTACATAAAAAAGGATCTGCACTTGTGTGCACACAAACACACATATTTTTCCATATAAATGATTCTTTGTGACTTTATCGTTTATTTTTTGACTTCATCAGGTTCAACTTGCAATCCGGAGTACTGGTGGCAGCAAAACATCTATTTCCGAGGGTGTAGAGGCATCCGTAATCTATGTCCGATTCAAAGCAGCCTCAACTGAGGTAATAGCGTCCTTTTCCTCCTCTTTTATCTTGACATAAAGATGTGATGCATGTGGAATATTTTACTACAGATAACTTATCCAAGCAATAGGCTGATTTTTTAGCAACTTGTAAAAAAATTATATTCTATATGTGGAATAGAATTATTTTTTTTTATTTCATCTAATGTTTTACATAAGCAGCTGACAATTCTAAGTAATTTTAGCTTAAGCCCATTTTGGAAGAAATTGAAAGCAGATCAGCAAGAACGGAATATGTCCAGATCCTTGTCGAATGCCACAAGTTGTACTGTGAACAACGGCTTTCCTTGGTGAGTTAATTGTCAGTTGTTTCTTACGCATTGATTTCCTAATTCTTATTCACCTGCTGGTTGTGATAGTACTTTCTGATTGTTTTCTGGTATCCAGGTAAAAGGGATTGTACATCAGAGGATATCTGAATTTTCCAAGAAAGAGGCTTTGCCATCATTAACTAGGTCTGGTTGTGCATATTTGATGCAGGTAGTGCAGTTAACTAATATGGCTATCAGTAAACAGAGATAGTTGTGGGTCTTTGATCATCTGGTTGATCGAAGAGCATTTAAAATTTTGCATCTTGGCATAAATTAGTGGGGTTGGATTCATTCAGTGGTTTGTAAGTGTTGAAGCTAGTGATCATGTTAAATTTTTGTGGTGATATAGCACAATTAAGTAGTTACACATGAAAAGTAAAATTTGCAGCCTAAGAACAGGAGGCTGCTGCAGGGGGTGAATGCGTCTAGGTTTCAGCAGTTCACAAGCTTCCTTTGTATTTTCAAATTAATTGCGATGTCCCAATTGTCTAATGACTCAGTTCCAGGTTGCATGTTGTCCTACTTATTTTTTGTTTTATATTTTTTGTCAATACAGGGGTTAGATATAGATGTTGTTTTGAAGTCTTTCCATGACAATTCAAGTTTTTAGGTCTAGTAGTTCTCCAATAAGGTAGAGTAGCTATTATGGTATTGAGGTCAAGGGTTCAAATTTTGGACTAATTTGCTTGCAAAACTAATGGCCTGCAACCGGGAGTGCATATGCAAAATCCAAACAGGTTTTCCATCAGGGGGCTTCTTAAGATGTTAATATCATTTAACAACTTAAGCATTTAGATGGTTGCTCTTGAATATCATGTAAATGTAAATACTGCAGGTCATGTCATTTAAGACTATTTATTCCTCATGTTTCAGGAAGTCTTAAAATGTTTAATTTTGTGCAATGAACGATAGATTTGAGCTATTTGGTTGGCTCAATTCAGTTCACCTTAATTTAGCCATAATTCCAACTGAAGTTCCATGAATCTTTTCATTCTATAGACATTTTACTTGTGCCACAATAAGTGCAGGTTTGTCAACTCGAACACCAACTCTTTGATCATTTCTTCCCATCTTCCTCTGAGGATATTTCTAGTTTGGCTCCACTTATTGATCCTTTGTAAGCTCTTCTCTATGTTCTTATTTTCAGGGCCTTCTTTTTATGTTTATCAATATTATTATTATTTGGGGTGGAGGGAGTGGTGGGATTTTTCATTTTTATATTTCCCTCTGTAATATTCTTTTCCTAATAGATGTAAATACATACCCATTCTTTTGTTACTTACAGATCTACTTACTTGTATGATACACTTCGCCCAAAACTTATTCATGAAACAAATGTCGATCTTCTATGTGAACTTGTTGATATACTTAAAGTTGAAGTTTTGGGAGAACAACTAAGTAGACGGAGTGAGTCATTAGCTGGGCTCCGTCCTACATTGCAGCGAATTTTAGCAGATGTTCATGAGCGATTGACTTTCCGTGCTCGGACATATATTCGTGATGAGGTACTTTTTTATTGAGAATTTTAATGCAGAAGCCTACCATGTTTGTTAATTTGGTTGCGCATTAATTTCAGAGAGCAGTTGTTGAAAAGTTTGTTCTTTTTCTGCATCAATTCATATTTATCTGGTGATGGCATGTTCAAATTCCATAAATAATTGCACGTAAAACTACCCTGTACGACATAGTTCTCATACAAATTCATACTTAGTTTCTATTATCCTTGTTGGCCTGTATGCTCTTATTGGAAAGCAGTGCCATTGCATGAATGTGTTAGGGAAGTATTTTAACATAGGCTTGAGTATATTATATTTGTAGTTGCTGATGATGGATTTCTTCACGTAGTTTAGCATCAGTTTACCCTTTGTCTGGATGCAGAAATTATAAAGTGATATGCCCCAGAGGCTTCCTCTCAATTTCTAGTGAATTGCATAAATGGTCGAGAGCTAAGAATTTACTCCAATGCGCTGTTAAAGTCAAAAGAGTTTACACAAACAACCATACTTTAAGATGGAAACAGATATATCAATTAATTTAGTACAAACAGAATTGTTGGACATGGAGCAATCTTAGAGTTATTTCTCTGAGTGAATCTCCTTGTTGGAAGATTTTATCTTCTCAAGTTTTTGTACCACCGTCCTCACAGTATGTGAGGGGATTCTTTGTTTCTTCTAAACTTTGGTTTTATTGATGCTTTCTCTTGTTTATTTTGCAGATAGCCAATTATATGCCTTTTAATGAGGACTTGGATTATCCTGCAAAGTTGGAGCAATCTACTGAGATGAAATCAGAAACTAATTCTGTAAAGTGTCTTACACTTCCTTTTTTATTTTCTCATGATTAACTTGTGTGGATAATCATGGATGGTTGAGAATGCCAAATGCCTGCAACTCACAGCAGATATTAAGTGGGATCTCGGGTTTAAATTCTGTATCAGAAATAACACAAAGTTAGGGAGATTATTGGCATTTCTGATTCTACCATCTCAGTTCCTTAGGTTCTTCTAATCCACAAGGTAGGACATCCCATGCTAGGATTTTATCATTTGAAACAGGGTATTTGAGGACCATATAGGGATTGGGCTTGGCTGTTCATGAATTCCTTTCTATTGGCAAATATATCTGGCATGGTTCAAGTCAGTTAAGTTGGCAGGAGACACATCATATGTCCATATCTTTGTGTTATGTCTGATGCTGGTGTCAACCATAATTTTTATTGTTGCTGAAATATATGCATAGTTATTGTTTGGAATCGGGGTTTGATATTTTAATTTTATTAATTGAATAAAAAAAAGATAAGATGGATATCATTAAATCCGATCTTAAATTCGATTCACACTCAATCTCAATCTCAATATATGTATATGCATCTATATATTGCAAAAAGAAAAAACAAAGTCATTTTCATGTTGAATAATACTAAATGAAGCAGCTATATTATGCATATCGAAATGATGATGTGAACCCGATTGATGGTTTGACTTGCACATCATATGTTCATATCTTTTTGTTATATCTGATGCTGGTATCAAGCATAATTTTTATTTTACTGAAATATATGGTAGCCATTGCCACATTGTGGTTTGACTTACGGACTGGCACTGAGCAGTTGTCTGCTGGTGGCTTTTAGAAATTTTTCTGTTTGCGGTGATAAGTGAATTTTTCATTACCAGCATTGCTCTTTTGCTTAATTTTAATCTTTTTGGCAGGTTGAAGAAAACCCAGATGTATTTAAAACTTGGTACCCACCCCTGGAGAGAACTCTATCATGCCTTTCAAAGTTATATCGCTGTCTAGAATCTTCTGTCTTCACTGGTTTAGCACAGGTGCTTGAATCTTTAGACTATTACTATTGCTGAGATTTTCTTGTAAATTTAGGAAGAATATTGGTTATTCTTTACATGTTTTATCAAACTTCTTTTTTTCTTGGTTGCTATTTCTATCAGGAAGCAGTAGAAGTTTGCTCTGATTCTGTCCAAGTGAGTAATTTAAACATCAATTGCCAATATTGTATTAGGTGGTGATAGTTGGAAGCTCATTGTGATTTAGTATCATCTCCCTGTATAGTTATTACAATATATTCTCCACAGAAAGCTAGCAAACTCATTGCAAAGAGATCTACAGCAATGGATGGGCAGCTCTTTCTTATCAAGCATCTTTTAATCTTAAGGGAGCAGGTTATTTCCCTTATTCTTCCATTTTGTTATTTGGTGGTTATTTAAATATGCAATAAGGTTTACAACTTTTGAGTTTTATCCTTTCAGATTGCACCATTTGATATAGAATTTTCAGTCACATACAAGGAACTCGACTTCTCTCATCTGCTGGTAAGGTTCACTGAAGCTAAAGCTTAGTTCTCTGCACTATTTGATGTCTTAATATTTCTGCATGCAATTTTAATAGACTAACTGAAGTTCTTCTTCACATGAGCATTACTTTCCTGGATAACTCAATAATACTAATAAAAACTTGTGCTACATATTCTAACTGGTTGATGGACTCTAAACAATATGGAATTCAAGGAAACTTTTATAACTCAACATTACCTGTAATAATAAACTAAAACTGAAGTAAAATGGGGTTTCACTGTAGCAATGAACAGTGTTCATCAGTGTTCATTGCTACAGTGCTTTGGTTTTTTTTTTGCCAGCGACTGAGCCTTCTTTTCTTTTTTTTTTTTTCGTTTACTGTTCATGTGAACAGTAAACGACTCCCCCTCTTCTTTTTTTTCTTCGATCTGTGCAAAGAATGCCTAAGAAACCATTTTCCACCATTAAATCTCATTCTCTGTACGTGCATTATCTGATTGTGGCGGATTCTTCAAAATCAATATGTCATGGGCCCCTTTTTTATTTTTTATTTTTTCCCTAAACATTGAATTGTTTTTTTTTTTTTAATTTTCGTTTCTTAATAATATTGGATGTTAAAATTTTAAAGGAACCAACAATTAATTGGGTGTTAAAATTTAAAAAAAAATAATAACCTTTATTATTTATTTCTAAAATTTAAAATATCTAATTTTTCTTTTGGTGTTGTCATTTTTTTATTTCCGTTTCTGAAAAGTGAACGATTTTTTTTTTTTAATTTTCGTTTCTGAATAATGTTGGGTATTAAAATTTTAAAGGAACCAACAATTTATTTCTTTTATTATTTATTTCTGAAGTTTAAAATATCTAATTTGAAAAAATAATGTTTTTTTTTCAAAAAATAATTATGTCTATAAGCACATGCATATTATATAAAATATTACTATCACATAACATAATTTATTAATTAACAATTACATAAGATGTATTTTTCAAAAAAAAAAAAAAGTACATATTTTATAATAAAGAATTTTATTGCTAATAGTTTGTCATTTATTACTATTTTCATTAATTTTTTATTTCTTTTAAATTCTCATCCAATTAATTTAAAATTATATTTATTCATAGTTATGATTTATTTTAATATTATTCATCCAATTGACAAAAATTAAATTCATATTTTTTCAACATGAAATAAAAAAAAAATTTATTCAATTTTATGTAAGCTTTTAATAATTGTTATTTCTGTTTTTCGACACAATCTTATAAAATACTAAAGCTTTTTTAAAAAAATTATTTAATTTTCTTTTAGTTAATAATCTATGGATTAACAAGAATAAATCCTTTATGTAAAGAAAAAAATATGAAAAATACAAATAAGAAATAGTTAAATACAAAATTTTTTATTAAAAAATTATAATTAGTTTTTTTACCTTTGATTTCATATATTATTATTGATTCACATCATAAAACAGATTATTAAACTGAAATAATTTTTCTAAATGATTTTATATATTTTATCTAACCCGCAGCGTAACGTGGGTCAAAAATCTAGTTTATGTTCTATTTTATTTTGCACATGCCGGTTCTTTCTAAATTTATCACTATATTTGTTTGTAATGAAGTTTTATTTACATTAAATTTCATGCCCCAGGAACACTTGAGACGGATACTCAGAGGTCAGGCCTCGCTGTTTGACTGGTCAAGATCAACTTCGCTGGCAAGGACCTTATCTCCTCGAGTTTTAGAAAGTCAAGTAGATGCCAAGAAGGTTTGTCTTCCGATCAAAGTACAGATATCCTGAGTATTAGTTGGCTGCTTCTGCCACTAGAAATATTTGTAGACATGTACCCCTATTATAACATTTGGGCTGCCTGAAATATAAATGAAATGAATCTGTAAATGTGTTTCACTCTATAATAAGGGGATTTCATGTATGCTGTTGTGGATATTTAGTTTATTATGGTTTGTTGTTGTTTACCTCACATTGTATATCCCACCATCAAAGCCTTACTGATGCCAATTATTGTTTAACAACAACGATCCGTGGTTTTGCTTTTGCTAGCTTTTAGAGGAAGCCCACATATAACTTTGAGCCTCTTTACTTGTGGGCGCTCTACTGAACTAAAGACATGGTTGATCTGTCACTGTTTGTCTGCTGAAATATATGTATCTGTTTCACAGGACACTACAATAAATTTTAGAAACTTTGAATAACCAATAGGTTTGTTCTTCTATTGGTGTTCATTTATTTATTTATGGTTTCATTTTGTTTGGATTTACTGTTTCTTACAAAATCATAGGTTTGGTCACCATGTGACACTACTACATGTTATTTGTAGAGTGTGGACCAATATGCTTTCAGATATTCTGAACAACTGAAATTGCTTTGAGTCCCTCGTAACACTTGGTCAAGTGGTTTGTGAAACTTGGTATAGGGAAACTTAACTATTATTTTTTGTTTCCACTTTTTTTAATTAGTAATTAGTGGGAGTTTGAAAGCAAACTATAGGTGCTGGTGGGTGGTAACTGGGCTGTTTTTTCTAGACCAGACATTCCAACTGCAACAATACTATAGTAGAAAAGGTTTCAGAACATGACTTTTGTTGCTCATTAACTAGTTTTGCTTTCAAATGGTGATAATTGGACCTAAACCACTTATTTATATTCTTTTATTGTTGGATCCCTCCCCACAGAATAACATTTTGACACAAGCCCTTTGTTTTTTATTTTTTCAGGAACTGGAGAAAAGCCTAAAAGCTACTTGTGAAGAATTCATTATGTCGGCCACTAAGCTGGTTGTGGATCCCATGCTTTCCTTTGTTACCAAGGTTCACTGCTCTCAATCAAAGAACAGGCCGTTTTAGCATCTATATGCATAGAAGTACTCTTGTCAATAGGAGACAAAAAGCCCTAGGATCTATGATTATCATTCATGGCAATCAATGAATGAAAGTAGAACAAATAGACAAGAAAACTTTATGGACTATATGCCTAGGGTACTCTTGAAGAAGAGATGGGAGCTTATCACATTATATAGTGATAGGATAGGATATTCATGTTATTTCGTTCTCGACTTATTGTAAGTCTAAATGGACAGACTGCATTGTCTCATGATATATCCAGTTCTGGGTGTAAGTTTGACTAATCTGCTACTATAGCCTCTATCCCCAAGAAAAAGGTGGTGGGGAGCATAGGCTGTTACTCTAACTTCCCAAATAATATCGATTATAAGAAATTGGGGTCAATATATTTATATGTTCTCATAATCCTAGTAAAAATTTTCTCCAGTAGCATCCATAAGCTTGACATTTTCAATCTGTTTGTAGGTGACAGCCGTGAAAGTTGCTCTCTCCTCTGGTAGTCAGAATCAGAAAGTGGACTCTGTTATGGCCAAACCTCTTAAAGATCAAGCCTTTGCTACTCCAGATAAGGTGGCTGAACTTGTTCAGAAGGTAAGGTTTTTTATTTTTTATGTACTATAGATTCAGTCTCTGCATGCCCCCATCAAAATATTTTTTTCTGCTGGTCAAATGTCCGGAAGTCAGTGATTGATTCTCATACTCTGCATCAAAAAATAAGTAGATCTTGCAAAATAAAGAATGGAAAAGCAAGACAGAGAGAGAACAAATCTGGGATGCAGTAAAGCTATTATGATTTAGCTCAAGCTGATTTCATTTTCTATGTTTCATGGATAGGTAAATGCTGCAATTCAGCAAGAACTGCCAATGGTGATGACTAAGATGAAGCTTTATCTGCAGAACCCATCAACACGAACAATTCTATTCAAACCAATAAAGTAAGTTGATTTTGATGTCTTTTCCATAGTAATTGGATCACTATTTTAAGAATCACGCGCTCAAAATGTGTTCATAAACTAAATTTCCAAATCTCAAACCTATATTAAGTTAAGAGATCTGCCACAGCTACAATTACTTACCTGTTCATAAAAAGCTTCAAATACATTATTTTTGGGTAAAAAACAAAAAAAAAACTTGATTCTAAACCTGAAAGTATATCTATGCAGGACAAATATTGTGGAGGCGCATATACAAATACAATCCCTAGTAAAAGCTGAGTATTCATCTGAAGATCAAAGCATCATTAGGATGACATCCATTCAAGACCTGCAAGCACAACTTGACAAGCTCCTCTAGGACACACCTGTAAAGACTATTATAGCCTTTGCAATTTTCATTCCAACCCTTTTTTTTTTTTTTTACCCCCTCAAAGATTCTTGGTGTCAATATTTTGGAATTGTTGAAGAAATTAGGCCGAGTGGAGATTTCAAGATGAGACGGTATTATTATATATTTTGGGGCCTGATGCATCATATTGAGGAACAGTAGAGATCCAATAGATAGTTGAGGCCTTATCCGTGAAAAATAATTCTATTCGTTATTTGTAATTTGTTTAATCCACTTCGATTCCTATGTTTCTTGGATCAGAATTCCAAACTATATAATGTGCACATTAGCCTTGTATATATATGGTCGGTATCAAAAATTCATGTATGATAGCTGGTATCGGAAATGGGTTTGGGCTGTAAATTTAGTAATTTAGAGTGTGGAGGATCCGTGGGCATATAGCAGTATGGCTAGTATTATAGTCGGGAATATTAATTTTTGGGTATAATTTGTAGTTTTCTTTGAGATTAAATCCAAATTTTATTTTCAAGTTAGAAACCTTAAACATTTACGTGAATAGAAATTCATCATTTTTCTAATTGGTAATTAATAATTTATAGTTTTTAAAAAATGTCAATTAATGAAATTTATGTTGATAAATGATAATGTTTCTATGTTATATTTAGATTAAAAATTATCAATTTTGTTATAAACATCAAATTAAAAGGAAGGTGAGTAGCACTAATTAAATTTGAAAGAAATTAAAGGAAAGTGAAATTGAATCTTTCATAATCATCATAATCAAGGTAACTTAATTTAAGATATCCAAATTTATTTATTATTTTAAATCAAATATAAATGGCATTCCCCCCCCCCCCCCCTCTCTCTCTCTCTCTCTCTCTCTCTCTCTCTCTCTCTATATATATATATATATATATAATTTCACATATGTTTGCCTTCAATTGAATAAATATTATCATAACTTATATTATTTTTTAGGTTATATTTTTTTATTATTGAAATTAATTATTTCATAATATATAAAATATTACAAAAATTAACGTATGCTCCACTTAGTGTTCTAAAGTTTTAATATTCACCTTAGCAATGTATCTATATGATATTATACTCATATCTTGCATCAGTATCCGTATTTTAGGCATACAATGATAAATACTAAATTATCCAATTATATATGTTCTAACACTATATATATAATCAGTGTATTCCATAACCCTACCAAAAAATAAAAAAGTTCCAATGCATAAAAACATATCCAGATTTTTACGTGTTTGGTTAAAAAAAAAAATTCTAGATTTCAATTCACATGAATAATAATAATATAAAAAAAACAAAAAAAAATTCCAGAGTTCAATGCCGGATTTTTTTTATTTTTTTTATTTGGATTTGATTGGGCTTTTTTGTTTTTACATTCGGTTTACTCAATTTCATAATTTTTTTATATATATAATTTTATAACTATTACACTACAAAAAATTTGTCAATTAGGGACGAAATATTGCAATTCCATCAGTATACTACAATAGCGACGGCGTTGCTACGAATTTAAAATTAGCGAAAATTCCCGAGTATATATAAAAAAAATATATGTTAAACATTTCAAAGGTTCAACTTTTTTTGTCATTTTATAATTTCTTAAACAAATTTAAAATTTTTAATACCGAATTTTTTTAGAATCTTTTTATTTTTGAAAATTTATTTTTAAAAAATATTAATTTTTCATTCCTAAAACATTGCCAAACATCTTTAGTTTTTGAATTTTTTTTCTTAGGCATTTCCAAAATTTTAATGACGTTAAATGTAATTAAAGTTGGGAAGATCGAAACTTACTCGGGCATGCCAAATAGCAGTAGGATTCCAACCATTTTATTGCCATCAAGCTTGTGCATCGATTCATTTTTAAATCAAAAACTAAAATATTAATTTCATACATGTTTGCCTTCGATTGAATAAATATTATCATAACTTATATTATTTTTTAGGTTCTAGTTTTTTATTTATTGTTGAAATGAATTATTTCATAATAGATAAAATATTACAAAAATTAACGTATGCTCCACTTTTAATTTGCATGTTCTAAAATTTTAATATTCATCTTAGAAATGTATCTATATGATATTATACTCAGATCTTGTATGCGTATCCGTATCCGTATCCGTATTTTAGGCATAAAATGATAAATACTTAATTATCCAATTATATATGTTCTAACAATATATATATAAATAATCAGTGTATTCCATAACCCTTCCCCCTACCCTAAAAGAAAAAAAAAGGTTACAATGCATGAAAACATATTCGGATTTTTATGTGTTTGGTTAAAAAAAAAATCCAGATTTCAATTCACATTAATAATAATAATATAAAAAAAATTCCAGAGTTCAATTCCGGATTTTTTTTTTTTATTTGGATTTGATTGGGCCTTTTGTTTTTACTTTCAGTTTACTCAATTTCTTACTTTTTTTTTTTTACACTACAAAAAATTTGTCAATTTCGTCGCTAGTTGTTGCAATTCCATCGATATAGTCCAATAGCAACAACGTTGCTACGAAACAAATTCCATCCCCAAAACAAGTGTCGCTAACCCTTGTGACAGATTAAACAAAGTAGGGATAGATTCTTCGTCGCTGCAAAACATTACCGTCGCAAAATAACTATAAGAGAACCTTCAAAAGTGTTGCCAATCCGTCACGAACTCCGTCACTATCTAACAACCAAATAACTCGTCATTGGATGCTAAAGCTAATTGCCATCATTAATTGGTGTCTATTTTCGTCGCTAATAAGATGTTACTTTGCAAAAAAATTGTTTTTCATCGTTGGTTTTTTTACCGAATTTAGTTTTTTTTAAAAAAAAAATCCGTCACTAATCCGTAGGTATTGAATCGCTCATCCATCGCAATTCCGTTGCTAGTTCCATCATAAATATATATATATGTGTGTGTGTGTGTGTGTGTGTGTGTGTGTGTGTGTGTGTTCTAATTTAGTTTTTTTTTTTTAATTTCAAAATTTTGGATATTCATAGTAGTAACATAATTAAAACAAACAACTTATTACAAAAATTGAATTTTTTTTAATTAAAATGAAAATATTACAAATTACAATAAACTTTATATGTTAAAAAATATTAATTACCACATAAGAAAAAGATTAAAAACATATAATAAAAAGTAAATATCACTAGATATCATGTAATCCTCTCTCATCTTGCTCGGAGCTCGGTGAGAGGGACGGTGAAATCCTAGAACTCATTAGGAGGGAGCGTGTCATCTTGAGGCTCGATGGGAAGGATAATAGTGCCCGAGGAACTCGCTAGGAGGGAGTGTGTCGTCATCGTTGGTGGAGGGGTCGGTAGACAAAGAAATCGGTTGCACCATCCTCTCTAACGTCAATGAAATCGAATCCATCTTAGCCTTCATCCCCTAGATCTTCACTTACTACTACATGATAATGTTGTTCTACTTTTGTATCTTCTCCTACAATGCCCTAAACATGTCGTTATATTGAGGTAGATGTTGTTCGAGCGAGCATTGGGGTCGTGAAACCGCAATGTTATGGCGAGTAGGCTGGTGCCAATCGATTAGGACAAATAGTGATTTGCCTCTAACTCAAACCCTAAATCCTTTTCTTCTTCTTCCCTCCTACAACATTGAAGTCTATAGCATTCATGTCAACCTATGGCTCCTCAATTCCGACCTCTCACTCGCTTTCTTATAGATTCTCGTATCATCTCCTCCACATGCTACTACGTAATAAAAATAATTATAACATTAATAAAAAATTAAAATAAGTTTTTAGATTATATTTTCATATGTATAATATAAAAATAAAAATAAACTTACCATTGTAGACTGAGCTCGTAAATCGATGAAATTCCCATCTCTCCGCTCGTGAGTAACCCCAAACAACTCGTAATTTATAAGTCGATGGTCCAATTTCACGACTCGAAAAAAATTGACACAAAAAATATTTGAGATGCAAATATTAATTTCTTAAATATTTGATAATATATAATAGGATTTACCAAGTGACATGCATACTCAAAAATAGATATGGATCCTTCGTATTCCTAGACGATCCCGAACCAGGACCATTAATCTCTAACATCCAATTATGTGATGCTTGTTGGGAACGCTAGTGACAATCGAGTGTGGCAAAATCTTTCATCTATGAATCCCACACCTCTTGCCTAACGAAAAAGGGCCTTTGGTCCTTCGTACCATGCTTGTGAACGAAGTTAGAGTAGCGCCTTTTAGCCAAAGTCTCCCAAGCATCTCTAGCTTGCGCCTCGATGGTCGATTCCCGGTAAAAAGACTTTTACATGAATAAAAAATAATATTAGTTTATTTTATGTTAAATTAATAGTTTAAATGAAATTTAAATAAATAAGTAATACATTAACTTAAACTCATTGTCGTAGAATTATTTCGTCTCTTTCGAAATGGACTTCCACGTTGAGCCACCGACATCCAACCACTCTTTGAAAATCATAGCTATTATTTTTTAGCAATCTCTCCGACATAGTACAAAACTATCAAATACCAATATATATATAATAATTATTGAAATGATATATTAATTTTTTTAAAAAAAAATAACAAGGTTTGAAGTAAATTGCTTACTAAAAATTAACAACCGAAATTGGTCATTGAATATTGGAGCCTTGGGAGCTCCTTGGATTGGTAGATACATCATCAAATGATGGACTCCTCGAGAGAAACTCAACGGTGGCATAAGCTAGACGAATGGTCACCGATGGAGATGTCAAAACCGAGGCTGAACTATTGGTTTTGGTAGAGGAATAAGTCTAATGTCCCATGTCGATGGACCAATGCAAAGCACTCGAAGATGGAGAACCTTGATCGATGTCAAATGGAGAATCATGTCTACTATCGTAAGGCGGGGATGCACATCCATGACTATCCGATCGTGATCCGAGATCGACACGAACCACACGTCATAGATTAATAATATCACCTAAAATAATTAAATAAAATACAATAAATATAT